ATATATATATATATGGTCTACACGAATCTCAAAGCAATTAAGTAGTCAGCTGTCTCGTGTCAGTCGCCTGACCAAAATTTCTCTCTCGGTCACCTCACTTATGTAGACCGACCAAACTATTTTCTTCGGTCATCTCACTTCAGGTGACCTACAAAGCTCTTTCTTCGGCCAACCATAATTAGATGAGGGACACCCCCTTCCGCAGTCCCTCGATAGAGGATTTTTAAGCATAACACATCAATACAAAAAACTAAAATATCCAGCACAACCCTTTTAAAAGCAAGAGTAACATGATAATTTACTTTTTGATCCTCTTTTGATCTATAAATAGGAGGGCCCTCTAATGTTAAAATGACTTTTTGGTTCCCTCACTTGCAGCAACGCGCTTTTGCGGAATAAAATGGACTGGTGAACTAGGGGACCACCCTGATTCGCCCTCAAGAGGATAAGTCTCTCATTCTCTCTCATGTTCTTCTTCTCTAGCTCTCGCACTCTATTAGTTACGATTTATTTATCAGATAGTTTTAGATTCAACAATGAATTAAGAGTGAGGGAGAGAGGGAGAGAGGGAGAGAGGGAGAGAGGGAGAGAGAGAGATATGAGTATATCTCTTGTCACGTGCATGGAATAATTTAAGTGAATAAATAACTATGTTTATATAATTATTTGTTAAGTATTATTTAATTATTTAATTTTAAGCATTGACTGAATAAAATATTACTTAATATGACCCAACGATATGGAAAGCTTAATAAAAATCAGTGTCATTGCACTGAACAGGTTAGATGAAGGCCGCAATTAGTTAAGGTTTTAAATTTCTGGTTTTGAGTATCAATGTTTTAATCATTTTTCATAAGAATATTTATTGCAAAAATAAAATTTATGTGATGGAATTTTATGTTATAATATATATGAAATATAAGGAATCTTAGTAGTAAATTTTAATGAGGTTTGATTATTTTCGTTACATCACTGAGCTCATTATTCGCACGATTTAAGCATGTTAGGACGCCCAAACACCAAAAAAAGTTATAGCAAAATCTCGATCAAAATGAACCCAATCATTTTGAAAATGATCCAATTCAAATTCAAATCAATCAAGTTCGAACACTTAAAGTTGCATCGATTGGAAAACCAAAGAATATCTCTCCTGACCCTCGTCTTTTCCACCAAAAACTCTCGACTCTCCCCGAAACCCCTTGTCTTCTCCACACGATTCCCTCTCTGTTTCGTCTAAAATCATCGTCTTTGTCTATGAATCCCTCGCGATACAGTTGAAATAGAGCTAGCTGGGAACACAGCGGTGGGATCGAGGCTTACAATGACCGAAAAATCCGATTTTTGTCCCCTGTTATCATCATTTTCACTTTTATTTTCATTTGCTTTGAAGAATGCATTTAGGGTTTAGGGTTTAGCGACTAGAAGGTTTATCAAATATTTTCCTATTTCTGTTGGATTACATCTACGACTGTGAGTTTAGCTCAAGCATCATTAATCACTCGAAGATTGATTGAATTTTGACTTGGATCAAGATTGGATCTAAATAAACGAGTTGAGCCGCGAGCTAAAATATTGGAACAAATTTTTTTGAGCTGACCCCAACTCAGCTCGAAATTGGATTGTTAACAACATATGAATGAATTTAGCAAATTTAACTCGAAGTTTGTTATTCTTTCAAAAAATTGTTTCAAATTTTGGCGTAGATCAAAATAAATGAGCCAAGCTACGAGCCAAAATTTTGTATCAAAATTTTTTCGAGCTGATATTGAGCCAACCCCAACTCAGCTTGAAATCAACTCATTAACAACTCTAATTGCATCAGGAATCGGCATTAAACACATAGATATTTTTGTTTTCTTTATGGATACTATTTACTAGACATATACAGGAGGATGCACCTTGGCGTATCCTTTTTGAAGAGGAGTGGATAAGGCTAGATAACAAGTTTAGGAAAAACTTAAATTCTGTAGGACAATATTGTGGCCTAAAGTCCTTCGTTTGAATAAATATAGAACTGAATACTTGAAATGTTATTTTTGTAGTAGTAGTAGCTCTAGTGACAGAATTATAACTACAAGAGATCAAATCATTTAAAATGTGTGAATGTTTTAGATATGTCGGGTTTCGATATGTCAGGTTTCTTGTTCAAAGTGATGGTGATATAGATAAATATGTGATTAATTAGTGGATTTAAAGTTGGTTGGTTGGAACTTACATCATCTCGACTCGAAGTTTGATCGTTTAACATCTTAGTATGTTAGTTATGTTGAATATCATTAGACGGTCAAACATTGACTCATAATTGATTAAGATGTCTCTCTCTAATAATGTATGACACTGTAGCTACACCAGTCGACTCAGAGAAAAAAATGTTTTAACTTTTGTCTCAAAGTGAAAAACCAATCGCAAACCCCATGCGGATCGCTGACTTTTAAAATGTGAACGAAATAAACTCGTGAATAAGTTGGTGTAGCTATGATGACAAACAATATTAGAAATAAAAATATTGATAATGCTTGCCCATTATCGTTCTTCAACAACCCTGATAGCTTCAACAGGCTGTTAACGTTCTAATTTCGAGCTCGAGCTTAACTGTTGTTGGCTCTAAAAAAATCTGAGTCAAAATTAAAATTAATCAATATCCGAGTGTTGATTATTATTTCGTGTTAAGAAAAACATGTGGTTCCACATCCAAGTTATTAAATGATAATAAAAGATTACAACACGCATGCATGGTGGAATTGAATATTTACAAGTCGGACTCAACCATGCAGTCACGTGGTCCTATTGGACGTGCTCTTATAGTATTCCTAAGTGTCCACCGTCTACCAGTCAACCTTGAAGACTCCTACCTCCTTCACATCCACCCCCCTAACAAATCATTATTTTATTTTATTATGAACCCTCCTAACAAATTATTCAATTTTATTTCTGAGTTTTATCTATATATATGATGTGTAATTCTAAGAGTATGTAATTGGACTCCTCTGAAATAGTGGAATTCGTCGTTCTGCTCCCGATGACGTGGGTATCTTTTGTTGAACTTCGTAAAATCTCTGTGTGTTATTCTGGATTTGTGTCAATTCCTATTTTTCTTCACCCCAACTTCTCAACAAATCTCTCATTATTTTAATAAGAAAAAAAATGACAATCAGAGAACGGAACCATCATTTTTTAGCGCGGACGAAATCTATAAATATGCAAATATTTAATATCATGTAAAAAATAAATAAAATCTAATTATTATTAACTTTTAAAAGTGATATACATATTTTATTATATATATTTATGATATAAATATCAAATTTTAAATGTTATAATTACATAGGAATTGTGTGATCTGATTGTGTTTTATGCTTTATAAAGAGAAATTATTCCGTGCGAACACCGCATGCAAAGATGCATGCGGTGTTTGATCTCCACCTTAGATCACCGCTTCAGTGGGACCCACTTTTATTTTTTTTTTATTTAAAAAAAACTCACCGAAGCGGTGATCGACAGTGGAGATCCGACATTGCATGCATCTCTGCATGCGCTGTCCGTACGGAATAATTTTTCTTTTATAGGGCTGCACTTGCAGACGAATGGATGGGCAATCTATCCATCAATTAAGAAATTATACTATTAATTAATCATTATATTGAATTATGTGTTATAACGTTACAGTAAAAATAATATTTTCACGCTAATCATAAAAATAAAGTATTACCGACTTATATACGATTTAATTAACAATTAAGAGCACTGACTTAATTTCAGAAAAAAAATCAATTGATTAATGTCAAAAATTAAATATAATTAGGTAAAATTTACATACATACCACTCAATTCTTATGTATTTACGTGTCGATACCTAAGGTTCAACTTGCACATACATGCGTGTTACCTATTCAAAAAAAAAGTGTATTTAGTTTTTTAAAAAATAAATTGTAATCATTTTTTAAAATTTAAGATAATGGTAATTTTCAGGTCTGTTTGGGGCAGCTGCAGCTTATTAATAAGATTTTTTTTTTAAGGAAATTTGTATTTGGCAGAGGCCCAAATCCGACTTTTCACGCGCTAGGCCCGATGATGAGAGTCCTGTCATGTGCCTAAATATTCGAGAACCCAGCAACACTGGAGGTCGAAGCCGTGACCCTAAGAGACTTACAGTGAACCCCACAACCAACAGACCAGGGCTTACAAAACTATTAATAAAATGTTGTGCAACAACTGTTCTGGGAAGCTACTGCGGATAAACTGATTGATTGTTTGTAAACAACTTCAACACAGTTGTTTTTGACAAGTGACAATTTCTATCATTGTATAGTAATGTTGTTTGCAACAGAATTGTCAAAACAATATATTTGATACTTTAGAGACAAAAAACTATTTCAGAATAGTGCAAAAAATAAAATATATATCTCACTTAACAACAAACATCAGCATTACTAAAATAAAGAAAAATACTGTTAAAATAACAGAGTCGAAGAATAGAGAGGATAGGAAGAGCAAAATAACCACCCACAGGCAAAGCCTTGCCAACATAGCCACGGATCAGAGAGGAGGCGAGCGGGGATCGTATATTTATGACAAAATCGTGAGAGAGGGGAGAGCGAGACTCGAGAGAGGAGAAGCTCGATCGCGATAGCGTCTCAGAAATGGGTGGAACAGTAAAACTTTAATATGAAATGCGGCCGCAGGGTTGAACACGCCACCACGCTGCAAATATCGA